ATTTTTTATTGGGTATCAATGAAGGTGATTTTAATGGATTGGGTATTACAAACAATATTACAATCGGTGAAAAGCTACAGTTTAAAAAGGCGCTCTTGAAACTAAAAAAGAAACATAATACTTTAATCAACTCAGAGACTTCAAATTTATTTGTAAAAAATGAACAGACATCTCCGCTCCTTAAAATAGATTTTAAAGATTATAATATAACACCAGTCGGGAAAGGTGGTTTTGGTGAAGTATTTAAAATGGAACACAAAACAAATGGGTCAACAATGGCAATGAAGCAAATACTAATATCAAAAAATAGAAAAGTAAGTAAAATCAAGTATCTTGTATATACTTTCACCAAAACTAATTTTCTATTTACATATAGATTTTCGAAGAAGTTGAAATTTTATCAAAACTAAAACATGATAATATTATTAAAATTCTTTCATACCAAAATGATGAAAATCATTTATCAATTTTTTTTGAATATTTACCAGATTCAATTTCCTCTGTATATAAAACAAGTGGTGCTTTCAAGGAATCAAATTGTAGAACTATTATAACAGGTGTATTAAATGCATTGGTTCATATTCATAGTGAAAAAGTAGTACACAGAGATCTAAAAGGAGATAACATTTTACTAAAAGGTGACCATCCATACATAATTGACTTTGGCTTATCTCATAAATTTGATAGAGAATCACATTCAACATTTTATAGCAACGCTGGCACACACTTTTGGCAAGCACCAGAGGTTAGATTAAATATTATTGGTGAATGTGGGAGATCAAGTGATATTTGGAGTCTCGGTTGTACAATCGTTGAAATGTTAGTAGGTGGTAATCCTTGGCAAAACAATAAAATTGAGGATGAGATCCACCCACCAATCCCACCAAATTTATCAGTAAATCTAAGAGATTTTTTAAATGCTTGTTTTTTAATATCACCTGAAGTCAGACCATCTGCTAAAAAGCTGCTCAACCACCCCTGGATTCAAGGTAAACCAAATGCCATAAAATTAATTACAAAACAAGAAAATATAACATCAAATTTACTTCTTAATGAATATATATCGAAAGGTGCATATCAAACAGTATATGGTTCGGAAATAGAAAGTCCTCCTTTTGACCTTACTAATTATTCCAGATCAATTGAATACAAACAGGATCTTGAAGTTCAAAAAAAAGCAAAATCCAAATTGGGTCTAGAAAGAAGTAAATACATATTAGAAACGTTTTATCATATTTGTAGAAACACATCCAACTTAGTTATAGGAGATTTTTTCATTTATTTAGATGAACAGCTAAAAGCAGTCTATAAAAATTTTGACACTTTAATTTTAAAACTTTTTTCTATTGCTATAGAAAAAAATTTTGATAAGGAATTTAATGATTATGATCTTACCATTAAAATCATTAAAGGAATAGCATTTGATTTTACTATATATTTGCTCCACCACTATCCTCAATTATTTATAAAAACTTTACCAAAAAACTCTTGAGCTTTAATTCTTTAGAACAAATAAACATTAATTAATAATTTATCTTAATAGTTTTTCAATTATTACAAATTTTTTATTCATTTATTTAAATTAAATAAAATAATAATATAAAAATCCCAGCAAGGATTAAGCTCTAATTCTTTTTCTGGTAAATGGTTCAGGAATATTTGTTAAAACATAGAAAGTTTTATCTTTTTACACTTCCAGGTTATTGCAGTGCATGAACCATTTTTTTTTTTTAATTCGATTCGTACTCATAATTAAACCGCCATTCACATTTGTGAGTCGGAACCTTAAGTTGTGCCAATATATTTAAACAAATTACAACAATAACAAAATGTAATAAGAGATTAATTAGGTAATTAAAACATGGTCAAAATGGTTCATGCACTGCAATAACCTGGAATTTTAGACCATGTTTATATAAATCATATTATAGAATCTTATTTTTATTTTAAAAAATACTATAATCGCCTCAGGAACTCCAGCTTTATTTGTATATAATGAACAAACTATCATAGTGTAAAAATTGCTCCTTTTCATCCAAATAGCTCCCGATCAATTGAATAAAAGCAGGATCAAAAAGAACTAATTTCCAAATTGGGTTAAGAAAGGTGTAGAAAAATATTGGATATTTTTTATAGAATTTGTAAAGTAATATATTCCCAAAAGAGATGAATGTCTAATATGTTTCAATTTTTTGAATGGTGGAGTTGAGGAATTTAAAAAAAGCAGTGGTTTAAGCAATAAACAATTCAAAATTTCAATTGTTGAAATTCAACCTTAAAGCCCAGATTTAAATATAATGGATAATCATGGTCATAAGATAAATAAATGTTATCAATTCGAATGTTTAATAAATCAAATCAGAACCTGATCCAATGTCTCATTGACGTTTTTCATTACATCAATTCTGAGATTATAAACAAAGAACTTTTTATTTTGATAATATTTTAAAATATGTTATAAAAAAATTAATATGGAGAAAAAAAAAAAAATGCACCCATTAATTTTTTAAAATATTTTGCTGTTACAAATTCTAAAATTAATTTTGTTATAACAAAATTCCTGCGCAAACTTGAGCGGTTTTTATAATATTTTTTTTTTTTGGAATTTTTTGGGAATTGATTATCAACCCCTATTTTTTTAATACAATTCTATTTTTTTATTATATAAATAAAATAATGAAACAGGAAAATGAAAATAAAGAATGTAATTCAAATAATATTTGGCCAACATTTAATGAAGAGAATTGGATGAAAATTGAAAAATCGCAACAAAATTTAATTTCTTTATTAAAAATAATACAACTATACAGAATCTTTAAATGAATTTAAAATAATGATAATATTGGGTAAGTTAAAATCAGAACAAAATGAACATTTAGAAGACATTAAAATAATAATAAATTATATATATATTAATTTAAAACAACAATTTTTATTTAAGTTTTAAATAGTGATTTGTAAAAAGCTATAAAACAGTTTTTTAAATTATCATCTACAATTCCTAATGATTCTACAAGATCTTCTTCCATTATTGATAATAATGCGATGCCATTGATATTATGTTCCATAAATATTTCAGATAAAGCATTATAATTGGTTGGTTGGTCTATAAGTGCATCCATTAGTGCATCATTAACTTGTTCAACATTCTTTTCTAAAAATTTTTCGTCTACTAATTGATAAGATACCATTGATGGGTGAAGATTTCTTAAAAGAATGGACATTTCGTATTGAAAATTTAATCTTTTACCTAAAGTATCTAATTCCAATAACGAAAAATTTTTCTTTTCATAAGCAATGATTAAACATGAAAAATCAAATTCTTCGTTTTTCCATATATCTTCAAGTTGATTTAATACATTATTTTTTAAAATGTCAGTAACATTATGTAAAGATTTTTTTTTTTCTATTCCAATCGGTTTGGTATGTTCAATGATACGTCTTTTGACAATACCCAGTTTTTGAGACATAGTTGAATCTAAACTATTATTTATATTACTTTGTCTTGTTGATTTTTTTGCGTCATAATCAGAATTTTGAGTATAATTGTTTTTTTGGTTAATTTCTTCATTTGATTTTAGTTTTTTATATTCAACAATAAATGATAAGCAATTATTTATACTAATTCCCATCTTTAGTAAAAATGAATTATTATTACATAGTTCTTCCAAATGTTCTCCTGTTATTTGGTGAAAATTAAAAGTTTTGATAGTTTCTGGTGTAAATTTCCCTGTTTTTTCCAACCAATTACATACTTGGTTATGATTCCATTTATATATATGTTTATTCGTTATTAATAGAGCATCCATAGCTTTTGATGAAAAAAATAAAGATATGAAAGGAATAGAAAAAAAAAAAAAAAATTAATTTAAAATAATTTTGATTTTAAAAAAAAATATCAAAAAATTATGATAAAAAAAAAAAATATTTTTAAAAAAAAAATTATGATAAAAATTTTAAAAAAAAAAAAATTAAGTAACTTAAAAAAAAAACTTAAAAATAATTAACTTAAAAAAAATTAAGTAACTTAAATAAAAAACTTAAAAATAATTAACTTAAAAAAAATTTTAAAAATTGTTAAAAAAATTTTTTTTTATTAAATTAAACTATAATAATAAAAAATTTTAAAAAATTATTAAATTTAAATAATCAAATAATAATATGATAACTATAGATAGCTTTGGATTAGTCAATATTAAAAATAAAAACATTTTAAATTGGTCATTAGAAGATGTGTCTAATTGGTTGCGATCAAAAGATTTGGAAAAATTGGTAAATAGTTTTTCAGAAAAAAAAATCGATGGTAATTTCTTATTGGGTATCAATGAAGGTGATTTTGATAAATTAGGTATCACAGGTATTCCTAGGGGTAAAATATTAAAATTTGAAGATGCACTCTCTGAACTAAAAATGGAACACAATACTTTAATCACCTCAGAAATTCCATCTTTGTTTGTAAATGATGAACAAACATCCCCCCTTCCTGAAATTGTAGATTTTAAAGATTATAATCAAACACTGATTGGGAAAGGTGGTTTTGGTAAAGTTTATAAAATGGTACACAAAACCAATGGCTCAACAATGGCAATGAAACAAATACTAATATTAGAAAATACAAAGGTAAGTAAAATCAAGTATCTTGTATATACTTTCACCAAAACTAATTTCCTCTTTACATATAGATTTTTGAAGAAGTTAAAATTTTATCAAAACTAAAACATGATAATATTATTAAAATTCTTTCATACCAAAATGATGAAAATCATTTATCAATTTTTTTTGAATATTTTCCAGATTCAATTTCCTCTGTATATAAAACAAATGGTGCTTTTAAGGAATCAAGCTGTAGAACTATTATAACAGGTGTGTTAAATGCATTGGTTCATATTCATAGTGAAAAAATAGTACACAGAGATCTTAAAGGAGATAACATTTTACTAAAAGGTGACCATCCATACATAGCAGACTTTGGCTTATCTCACAACTTTGATAGAGAATCACATTCAAAGTTTTATAGCAACGCTGGTACACACTTTTGGCAATCGCCAGAGGTTAGATTAAATACTATTGGTGAATGTGGGAGATCAAGTGATATTTGGAGTCTCGGTTGTACAATCGTTGAAATGTTAGTAGGTGGTAATCCTTGGCAAAACATTAAAGTTGAAGATGGGTACCACCCACCAATTCCACCAAATTTATCAGTAAATTTAAGAGATTTTTTAAATGCTTGTTTTTTAATATCACCTGAATTCAGACCATCTGCTAAAAAGTTGCTCAACCACCCATGGATTCAAGGTAAACCAGATCTCTTAAAAGAAATAACAAAAAAAGAAAATATAACATCAAATTTACTTCTTAATGAATTTATATCGAAAGGTGCATCTCAAATATCACATGGTTGTAAAGCAGATGAATTTAATTTTGACCCTATTAAATATTCCAGATCAATTGAATACAAACAGGATCTTGAAGCTCAAAAAGAATCAAAATCCAAATTGGGTCAAGAAAGAAGTAAACAAATACTAGATGAGTTTGATGGTATTTGTAGAAACATGTCCATCATTAATATAGGAGATTATTTCATTCATATAAATGAAGAGCTAAAAAAAGTCTTTAAAAATTTTGACACTTTACTTTTAGGCATTTTTTTGACCGCTATAAAAAAAAAACTTGTTAATAATATTAAAGAGGTTACTTTGGAAATAACCAGAGGAATAACAGTAAATTTTACTATATATTTGATCCACCACTATCCTCAATCATTTATTAAAAACTTCACCCAATATCAAAACTGAAACTATCATATGGACAATATCATTTTAAATACTTTTATTTAAAAATTTATTCATTTATTTAAACTAAATAAAAAAAATAAAAAAATATAAGAATCTCGGTAGTTTAAAATATAGAGATTATTTTCATTTGATAGATCTTTTTTTTCCTCATAATTCTAGTATTCCGAAAGAGTAAAGTTGTCTGTTTAATTCTTTTTTTAAAATATTTAAATGACAGATCCAATTTGTTAAAAATAAAGAATTTGCTTTATGCAATTGGTCTTGTAAGTAAGAACTTTAAAATATTAATATTCAAAATATCAAAAAACTTAAAAAATCAAATATTTTTAATTTAAAACATGGATAGATTTTTTAATATTTTTTGGTGGGTTTGGAGATCAAAAAATGGAGAAAAATTCTAAAATAATTTTTCTTTTTATTTTCTTCCAATTTTCGTTAGCATATTCATTTAAAATATTTCAATAAAATATTATCTCATTTCAACTTTTTTTTATAAAAAATTAATTTTTTTATAAAATTTTCCAATAGATCAAATAACAGCACAAACACACACCATTATTTGTTTCATTTACAACCTTTTTTAAATTTTTTGAATATTTTTTTTTTTCATTTTGTTTATTATTTTTGATCAATTTGTACAATACCCAATTTTAGTGGCATCAATGAATAGAAACTAATATTTATATTGCTTGATTTTAGTATTGTTTTTTTTGATAATTTTTTTTCAAGAATAAACGATAGGCAATTATTAATATTTTCACCAAATAACAGGAGAACATTTGGAAGAACTAATTAATATTATTTCATTTTTACTATAGATAGAAATTAGTAATACTATGGATGCTCTGTAAAAATTAAAAGTTTTGATAGTATCTGATATAAATTTCCATCCATAGCTTTTGATGAAAAAAATAAAGATATGAAAGGAATAGAAAAAAAAAAAAAATTAATTTAAAATAATTTTGATTTTAAAAAAAAATATCAAAAAATTATGATAAAAAAAAAAAATATTTTTAAAAAAAAAATTATGATAAAAATTTTAAAAAAAAAAAAATTAAGTAACTTAAAAAAAAAACTTAAAAATAATTAACTTAAAAAAAATTAAGTAACTTAAATAAAAAACTTAAAAATAATTAACTTAAAAATAATTAACTTAAAAAAAATTTTAAAAATTGTTAAAAAAAATTTTTTTTATTAAATTAAACTATAATAATAAAAAATTTTAAAAAATTATTAAATATAAATAATCACATAATAATATGACAACTTTTGAAGGCTTTGGATTATCCAAAGTTGTTTCATCAGAAGAGACACAAAGTGGGCAAAAATCATTAGTCTATATTAAAAATAAAAACATTTTAAATTGGTCATTAGAAGATGTATGTATTTGGTTAAAATCAAAAGATTTGGGAGTATTGGTCGATAGTTTTTCAAAGCTTAAAGTTGATGGTAATTTCTTATTGGGTATAAATGAAGGTGATTTAAAAAAATTAGGTATCACATGTATTCCTAGGGGTAAAATATTAAAATTTGAAGATGCACTCTCTGAACTAAAAATGGGATACTATTCTTTAGTCACCTCAGAAACTCCATCTTTGTTTGTAAATGATGAACAAACATCTCCCCTTCTTGGAATTGTAGATTTTAAAGAGTATAATAGAACACTTATTGGGCAAGGTGGTTTTGGTGAAGTTTATAAAATGGTACACAAAACCAATGGCTCAACAATGGCAATGAAACAAATACCAATATTAAAAAATTCAAAGGTAAGTAAAATCAAGTATCTTGTATATACTTCCACCAAAACTAATTTCCTCTTTACATATAGATTTTTGAAGAAGTTAAAATTTTATCAAAACTAAAACATGATAATATTATTAAAATTCTTTCATACCAAAATGATGAAAATCATTTATCAATTTTTTTTGAATATTTTCCAGATTCAATTTCCTCTGTATATAAAACAAATGGTGCTTTTAATGAGTCAAGATGTAGAGCTATTATAACAGGTGTGTTAAATGCATTGGTTCATATTCATAGTGAAAAAATAGTACACAGAGATCTTAAAGGAGATAACATTTTACTAAAAGGTAACCATCCATACATAATTGACTTTGGCTTATCTCACAACTTTGATAGAGAATCACATTCAACATTTTATAGCAAAGCTGGTACACACTTTTGGCAATCGCCAGAGGTTAGATTAAATACTATTGGTGAATGTGGGAGATCAAGTGATATTTGGAGTCTCGGTTGTACAATCGTTGAAATGTTAGTAGGTGGTAATCCTTGGCAAAACATTAAAGTTGAAGATGGGTACCACCCACCAATTCCACCAAATTTATCAGTAAATTTAAGAGATTTTTTAAATGCTTGTTTTTTAATATCACCTGAATTCAGACCATCTGCTAAAAAGCTGCTCAACCACCCATGGATTCAAGGTAAACCAGATCTCTTAAAAGAAATAACAAAACAAGAAATTATAACATCAAGTACACTTCTTATTGAATATATATCGAAAGGTGCATGCTTTTTTATAAATCAAGCTAAGAAGGACATTCTCCCTTTTGAACCAATTGTATATTCTCAATCAATTGAATACAAAAAGAATTTAGAAGAACACCAACAATATGTATCCCAATTGGGTCAAGCAAAAAGTGATGAAATCTTAAAAACGTTTTATGTTATTATTGAAAACATAACCACCATATTCATAGGAGATTATTTCATTCTTATGAATCCACAGCTAAAAAATCAGTTTAAAAATTTTGACACTTTTCTTTTGAAGGTTTTTATAAGAAAAAATAATAATTACTCTGATTTTGAATATTCTATTAATCTTTCTTTAGCCTTGGCAAGATATTTTGCCATATATATGCTCTACTACTATCCTCAACTTTTTTTTATAGATAAAAGTGGAACAAAAGAAATATATCAAAACCAGATTTTACAAGAAGATTGGTAAATTATTTTTAAATTATAGATTTGATGATGCAACTAAAACAAAAGTTATTCATCTATCAAGTAGTCTTAATTGGTAGAAATTTAAAATTAAACCTTAATCTAAAATTTAAAACTAAATAAAATATATATCATTACACTGTCTACTAAAAATATATTATAGACTTGGGGTTATTTAAATTAAATAAAATTTTGTACCCTAATATTATTTAATAAAATGAAATTATTTTTTCATTTTTTTAAAATTTAATTTTATTTTTTTTTTTTTTTAATTTTTTTTTTTTTTGAAGATGTGTGTGATGTTAAAAATTTTTTTAAAATTAAAAAGTTTTCTAAAATATAATAATATTAACACAATGTTATCTATAAACAAGAAGATCTTCTTTTTCATCTCTTAATATTACTACAACAATACCAACAACTACAACATCAAATAAAGACGATGGAACAGGTAAACCTAATAGATATAGAATACGAAGATAATAAAGATAGTTTAGTCAAAAAAGAGGAGGATAAAGATGTTAAAATAAAAACAACCAAACCAAAAATAAAAAAGATAAAAAAAGAAGTTGATAATAGTAATAATAGTAGTAATAAAAATAAAAAAATTGTAATAACACTGGTGATGACGACGATATCGAAGGTTCAACAAAGTATCATTAGCAAAATTAAGATGGGAAGAAGTTTGGAATAAAATCGAAGTTATGAGAAAAGAAAATATAGCGCCGGTAGATACATTAGGGGCAGAGTCATTCAATATCGAAGAGATTGAACCAAAAGAAAGAAGATTTCATATATTGGTTGGATGTTTATTGTCATCACAAACTAAAGATCAAGTTACACATGCAGCAATGGTCAGATTAAAAGAATATGGATTAAATGTCGAAACGGTTTTAAAAACACCAAACGAAAAATTAGAGACTCTTATTCACCCAGTTGGATTTTATAGAAGGAAAGCGGTTTATCTAAAGAGTATTGCAGAAATTTTAAAAGAAAAGTATAATGGAGATATACCACCAACATTCAAAGAGATCGAAGCATTACCAGGTATAGGCCCGAAAATGACAAATTTAATCGTTCAAATTGCATGGGGTAGAGTAGAAGGAATCGCTGTCGATGTACATATGCACAGAATCTGTAATCGATTGGGATGGGTTAAAACCAATACACCAGAGGAAACAATGAGACAATTGGAGTCTTGGTTACCAAGAGAAAAGTGGGGTCAAGTTAACCATTTGTTGGTTGGTTTCGGCCAAACTATTTGCGATCCAGTCAGACCCAAGTGTTCATCATGCACAGTTAATAACCTTTGCCCAGTTGGCATCAAAGAAATGAAATCTTTAAATAAACAAGAAGAAAAAAAAAAAAAAAAATTAAAATAACTTTTTCTTTTTTTCTTTTTTTTTTCTTTTTTTTTATAATGGTTTAAAATTGTTTCTTTTCAGATCTAAATATAAACTAACAATTGAAGACTTTATTTTTTTATTTTTTTATTTTTTTTATCTTTTTTTTTATAATAGGCACTTACTTTTTCTCTTGGGTGGGTACTTTTTTTTTTTTACATTATTTTTAAAAATAATAATTTGACATCATGAAAAACTGATAATTAAATAAATCTCATTTATCTATTAATTATTTATCTTTAATTATTAGTATAGATATAGATCTGTAAAGAAGACAATTTTAAACCACCCAAAAAATGAAATTTTAGTCCAAATTAATAAAAAAATAAAGGGGGTGGGGTGTCAAAAATAAAAAAATATTTTTTATTAGATAAGATAATTTCAAGTTATTCATTTCAGAAAGGAAATAAAAATGGAATAATATTGTCATTTTATAAATTATTATAATAATTAGTGTATATTATTTATGTTTTATTATAAATCTATATTGTAAAAAAAAATTTGTATAAATACCAACTTTTAAAAATTATCATTTCATTTAAAAAAAAATTAATATCATGGGTGAGAATTTTAATAAAAATATTTTAGAAGAAAATTTAGTAGCTGTAATTGGTATTGGCTTTAGGTTACCAAGTGGAAATTTAAATGAATCAAATCAAACTCCAAGTCAATTATTTAACAATTTAATGAATGGTTTTAACGGCGTAGTCGGTCTTCAAGAAAGATGGAATGAAAATTTCTTTAAGCTAAATGAAATTGGCTGCAATAGTGCCGGTTTATTACCTTTGGAGGAATGGAAACTCTTTGACCCTGTTTTTTTGGTTTAAATCCAAGTGAAGCTGTAACCATTGATCCACAGCAAAGACTTTTGTTAAAGTGCACTTACGAAGCATTGGAAGATGGCGGTGTAGATCCAATAACACTACGTGGCTCAAATACAAGTGTTTATATTGGGCTCTACTCAAGATTACAGGGATATTGGTCGTTCATTAACTTCAGCTCAAAGTAATTTATTCGGGACATCAGCTCATTCTGCATCAAATAGAATTTCATATTGCTTTGATTTTCATGGAGCTTCATTAACAATTGACTCTGCTTGTTCATCTTCAACAACATCTATTGCATTGGGTTATGAGTCAATAAAATCTGGTAAATCAAACTGTTCTATTGTTGGTGGTGTAAATATGATAATGGGTATGTTTTGTTCTTTAAACAATAGTATAGTTATTTTAATTTAATAATCCTAATGTTGTTTTTATTAGATATACACTCTTTTAGATCATTTTCGCTTTTAAATTTATTAAGCAAAAAAGAAGGAAGATGTATGACTTTTGATGCCGATGCTGATGGCTATGTTCGTTCAGAAGGTGTTGGTGTGGTTGTCCTAAAAAATTTAAATCAGGCAATTAAAGATGGTAATAATATTTATTGCGTGGTTTCTGGAGCAAGTTTAAATGTCGATGGTAATGGTTTGGATGATAAATTAAATTTTTATTCACCATCTTCCATCTCTCAAGCAGAAAATATTAAATTGGCACTTAAATCAACCAATGGGTTAATTGATAGAGCTGATATTGATTATGTCGAGTGCCATGGAACTGGTACACCTAAAGGTAATCCAGTTGAGTTAGAAGGTATTTCAATGGTTTTTAAAGATAGCACTGTTCACTCCCCATCCAATCCATTATTAGTAGGCTCAATAAAATCAAACATTGGTCATTTAGAAGGTAATTATTTTTATTGTTTTTATTATAAATAGTTTTATTAATATTAATACAGTGCCCGAGGAAAATATGTAGACCCCTGATATTTTTATATATGTGTTATAAATTGATTAGTTTGGATAGTTTTTTTTAATAAATATTGACACAGCCTAAAAATAATAATGGTAATAAAAAAAAGTGTGGGAAATATGGGTAAAAAAAAAAAAATTAAAAAAATAAAAATAAATTTTTATCTCTTTTTTTTAAATTTTTAAATTTTAAAATTTTTTATATATCATTTTAAATTTTTACAAACTGAAAATAGTGCAAAAATAATTTCTAGAAAATAAACAAAATGAGGTTAAGTGATGAACTTCGATACTCAATATTATCATACAAAATCAGAGACCATTACTCAAATAGTAAAATTGCAAAAAAATTGGGTGTCCACAAAACAAAAGTGGCAAAAACAATTCAAAGATATGAACAAACAGGTTCAATCAATGACCATCAACGTTTTGGAATAGAAAAAAAGATTCATGAAAGAGATGAACGTTTATTATGTTTCAAATTTTTGAATGGTGAGTTGAAGAATGTGAAATTAACAGTGGTTTGGTATTATTCAACAACTGGCCACACCAGATTAGACTGGTTAGTTAGAAACGTATTGCATAGGAATAACATTGTTTATAAAAAGAAATTCATGAAACCTCGATTATACGAAGTTAAAAGAAGAAAAAGATATAGTTTTGGATTTGGCATAAAAACTGGAGTGTGGACCAATGGGAAAATCATATGTTTATGGATGAAGTTAGGTTTCAATAATTTGATAAATACCATTATATAAGATTTTGGGTCTATGAATCGTATGTTTTACTAGATTCAAATACTTAAACAAGTGTTAGAAAAGGTGGAGTTAATGTAATGTTTTGGGGAAAATTTTGTATTATGTTCCTAAAAATTAAGATCATCTTTCATAGGGATTATATTCTAATCTCTATATTGATATAATAATAAATGATACACAACCAAATCTGGGTTACTATGCAGATACGTTACAGGTGCCTGAGAAAGTTCACGAAAATTGTCATGAGAATTTCTAATCTTATTCACCAAATATGATTAGGGAGTAAAACTGAAAATTCAAAATTTCAATTGATGAAATACAACCTTTAAGCCCCGATTTATATATAATAGATAATCAATGGCCATAAGATACTTAAATGTTCTCAATCCGAATGTTCAGTAAATCAAATCATAACCTGATCCAATGTCGCATTGACGTTTTTCCTTACATCACTTCTGAGATTAGAAATAATTTTTATAAATCTCTTCCAAACAGAAAGGAGGCGATAATTAAGGCTCATGGGGAACATTCAAAAAATTAGGTAAATTCATTTGTTAAAATAAAAAAATAAAAAAAATTAAAAATAAAAAAAAAAAATTTTTAAAATTAAAAAAAAGAGATAAATATTGTAAACATATAATTTTTTTTTATTTATTTTAATTTAAAGGGTTTTAAATGAATCTTTATAAAATGAAGTTAATTTATTAGCCTTACATTATATTTAAATATTATAATCTAAATATCTTTTTTCAATATATAAATTTAAAATCGGTGGGGTCTACATATTTTCCTCGGGCACTGTATAACTATTTAATTTACTTAGCATGTTCCGGTGTTGCATCAAACATTGGTCATTTAGAAGGTAATTATTTTTATTGTTTTTATTATAAATAATTTTATTAATATTAATATAATAATTTAATTATATTAGCATGTTCCGGTGTTGCATCATTAATAAAATGCTGTTTAATGTTTAAAAATAAATGTTTTTTACCAAATATTAATTTTAAAAAACCAAATCCTTTAATCAAGTTTAAAGAGTGGAATTTAAAGGTAGTCACAGAACCAATAAAGTTTAATGAGGACAAACAAATTTCAATGATTATAAATAATTTCGGTGTTACTGGTAAGATTGTATTTAAATTTTATAAAAATTTCTTCATTTTTTAAACTAAATACCAATTCATTTTTTTAATATAACAGGTTCAAATTCATGCTTGATTTTACAACAGTTTATAAGTAAAAACAAAACAATAAATAAACTCGAATATAAGAGTTATTTAATACCATTTTCATCTTGTAGTGCTGAATCACTAATGAAATATCAAGAGTCAATTGTTTTAAAAGAGAGTGACTTCAATACCTTTGTTTTAAATCAAATTTATAAAAAATCTTTATCACTTTATCAAAGATCAGTTATAATTGCTAGTGATTCTAAAGAATTCAATAATTTAGAAAAAAGAACACAATTTCAAACAAAAAACGATATGTTTTCAAATATATCAATCAAGCAAAATAATCCAACTGTTGTATATATCTTTTGTGGCCAAGGTTCGCAATATAATAAAATGGGATTGGAGCTATATAAAAATGAACCAGTATTCAGAGATACTTTAGATTTAATGGATTCAAAATTTGCAAATTATTATGGTTATTCCATTTTAGAGAAATTAAGATCAATTGAAGATAGTGACTCCATATCTATAAATCAACAAATTATAGTTCAGCCATCTAATATTATGATACAAGTTGGGTTATTTAAATTATATAAGCATTGGGGTGTAGAACCATCGGTTATAATTGGACATTCATTGGGTGAAATTTCAACTGCTTACTGCTCTGGTATGATTGATTTGGATACTTTATGCTACTTAGTATATAATAGATCCATTTTACAACAAAAAACACAAGGCACCGGAAGAATGTTATCAATAAATATCAGCTCAGAACAATTTAAAAGCGATTATTCATCAAAATATCCAACTCTAGAAATTGCTTGTTACAATTCACCATCTTCCATTGTTGTTGCCGGTAATGAAGAACATTTAAATGAAATTCATATTAGTGCAAAAGAAAAAGGTATTTTTACTGCAATGCTTGGGTCTTTAACAGCAATCCATACAAGTGCTCAAACGGTTATAAAGGATGAAATTTTGGAATTAAAATTTAAATCCCAGCAACCTAACACATCAACTTTTTCAACTGTAACAGCAGAGTTGTTTAGCCAAGACCTCCTCTTTAATTCTCAATATGTATATCACAATATTTTACAGCCAGTAAAATTTGATCAAACCATTTCAAATCTTTTTAAATATATCGAAGAAAGCCAATTAAATTCAAATGTATGTTTTATAGAAATATCCCCACACCCAACTTTAACATTTTACTTAAAACAAATGGTCCCAACTAATTCATTATACTTTAATAATGGAAAATCTATTGAGTTTTATACCTCATTAAATAGAAAAATAAATGATTTATCGGAAATTCAAAAAACAATTTCAGAATTATATTGCAGCGGTTATAATGGAATAAACTTTAAGAGACAATTTAATAATCAAATGTCCCCACTCGATATCGGTTTCTATAGTTTACCATTGTACAAATGGGATGATAAATCTTACTGGAGAGAAGATGCACTTCATGAACAATTAAGAATTGATGGCCCATCAGTTGATCACTTGGGTATTTCAAATAAAGAGGTTTCACCATTTATTAAATCCTTCCAAGCTTTTATTGATATTGGCAAATTACCATTTCAATATTTAAAAGGTCATCAAGTAAAGGGAAAATATTATTATCCAGGATGTGGTTATATTATAAACTTGCTTAAAACTTATTCAAATCAAGATATAACTATTAACTTTATGGAATTTAAAACACCTTTGATTCTTAAAGAAGGAAGCAACCAATGCTTACAAACAAATATTTATCAAACTGGTAAAACTGAATATAAAGTTTTATATCATTTTAAAGATGAGTTAAATCAATGGGTGCAATCGGCAAGTGGAAATTTTCAACTGTTTAACCATGGTGAAAATACATTCAAATTTAATATTCAAAAAATTTTACAAAGTAAATGTAACAAAGCAGTCATAAAAAAAGAAGAGATTTATGATTTTATCAAAATGAGAACTGGTTTGCAATATACTGGTGCTTTTCAAGGTGTAGATAAATGCTTTTTAGGTGATAATTGTTCTCTTTCGATAGTTTCACTGGAACTGCCAAATGGATACATAGACCAAGTGTCAGAAAAGGATCCCACATTTTTCAATTCTTCAATCTTGGATTCATGCTTACATGGTTTAATTTCATTAATCAATGAACAATCACAAATGGTTTTTGATAATGTTAGTGGCTTTAAACTATATTCAAAAAAAATTCCCAAAGATAGAACCCAATTTTCGGAAATATATGTTTATTCAGAATTAAAGAAAAGAATGGGTAATTCTTATGTGGGTTCAATTACAATAATGTTATCAGACGGAACAATTTTAATTGATATTGAAGAAATAGTATGCACCTCATTAACCTATATTAAAGATCCATATGTAATTGACCTTCCAAAAGATCAAGTTTATACAACTTATTCAATTTTACCACCACCATCAACTTTTAAGTCAATTTTTAATTGTGAGGTTGCCAATGAAGTTATTGAAAATTATTCTAATAGTATAAAATTTATTTCAACGACACTCTTAAAATATATTATGAAAAGAAACAAAGATATTCAAATAGATGTAGTTAGAAAATTAAATATTGAACAATTAAAGGAAAAATACTTGGTCAATTCAAAAAATGAAAGATTATTCAACTATATATTTGAAACAATTAAAACATATTATAATGAACATGTTCAAGATATTCCAGTTGTCTCCAATCAAGAGTTAATAGAAAAATCCATTAAAATAATTGCAAAAATATTATTCCCTCTAGAAAGTGACAATCCATCTGAAAATTTACCCCAGTCGTTGTTTGAAGATAATATGCTCAAAGAATTTTATGACACCCCAACGTGTATGGTTAGAAGTGAAATGTTTGGGGAAATAATAAAAAACTCCATTAAACCCATTTTAAAAGAAAAAATATTTTTTAAAATATTAGAGTTGGGAGGAGGTACATGTTCATTATCAAAACAAGTATTAAATAAAATAAATGAAATGCTCCTAGATAATCAAGGTTATGAAATCGATATCGAATATACATGGACCGATATTTCACCGTCATTTATTTTTGATGCTAAAAATCAATTATCTCAATTCAAATGTGTTAGTATAGTTTATAACACTATAGATCTAGAGGATCCATTAATGAAGCAGGGTTTAAAGCCATCATATTATGATTTTATAATTATGTCAAATGTAGTTCATGTGGTTAAAAACATTAATTATGCTATGGAACAAATATATCAAGTATTATCACCAAATGGACAACTTTTATTAATTGAACCACCAAATCGATCTATAATTATTGACACTATATTCTCTTGTTTTGACCAATGGTATTCATTTGAAGATATGGATATTAGAAAAGACAGATGCTATTTAGATAAAGATACTTGGGTGAAATTATTAAATCAACATAATTTCAAATCAGACTTATTATTTTCAAACCCATCAGAAATCTATTGTACCGCAATTCAGGCTCAAAAACTAAGTTTAAATAATATTAAAACCAAAATAGATAATAATGAAAATGTAATCATTTATTCAAATTCTGACAATAACTTTATAAATAGTCTAAAATCATTGAGCTACTTGCAAAATTGAAGAAATGAATCATTTTAATATGGTAATTATCTCACCCATACTAAAAAATTCATTCACTTTTTCTTGTTTTCTTTCAAATAAAATGAATGAATTTTTTAGTATATAAATTACTCATAAAGTACTAAAAAGTTCATTCACCTTTTCTTGTTTACTTTCAAATAAAATGAATGAATTTTTTAGTATATAAATTACTCATTTTTTATTAATATTAATTAATAAAAGTTAAATATGATTCAAAAATAAAATAAATTTGAATATTTATTTAGATAATATTATAATGATTAAAATTTTATTTTTATATATATATATGTATATTATTATTTTTTAAAAGATTAATAATTTTTTATTTATGTTATTATTATTTTTTAAATGATGATTAATATTTTTTTATTTTTGTATATTATTATTATTTTTTGAATTTTCAAAATTTTTTTCCAATTGACACAATTGAAAACAGATCATTATACACATTGCATGTAATTCGGGAAATAATTTACATTTGGTATTGGCAATTTTGTTCTTGGGTTTTATCATTTATTGTTTTCTCGTCTAAAAATTTATAATAACAGGATGGAGTTATGTAAATTGATCCAGGATATGCTATATTGAAATTAAAATTTTAATTAATATTAATTAAATAATATATTTACAACAACAACATTATTTTATTATAAATTAATTTAATAATTTACCAGAATCAGCTAGAATATTTAAATCATTTTCAATTGCAAATTGATCTATTTGAGATAAAAAAGCAAATGTACTATCATGAATATTTCCTTTTGCTATTGAAACATAATATATATTCATTTCCCTATCAACTAAAACTTCTGATGATAAACTTGGTTCTCCAACATCCAATCTAAAATAATCTGCCTGATGGGGGTGAACTCTGTCTCTTTTATGTGATGTACAATCAATACAATATATTTCGTCTTTATTAATTTGATCTAAAGAAATAATGTAAAGTGAAGACATAAATATGTAAACCAATTCATTGACTTCTCTTGAAACATATGATTGACTAACACCAAAAATTGTTGAAAGTATTGTATATGAATTAGCACCCATCTAATTTAAAAATTGGTTGAAATATTAATATTATTATAAAATATTCATTTGACATAATATCTATAAATACCTTTAAAAATGTTAAAAATAAATGAATTCTTGATTTTGGTGATAATCTTTTAGTTTGATCTTTTATTTGGGGTTCTATTTTTTTATATAACCAATCTAAAATATGTTGTTGTAAACCAGTCAATTGAACCCAATCTTTATTTTTTAATTCAATTTCATTATCTATTGATGATTTTTTATTATAAGATTTTTTATTAGGTGAATTTAAATTTTTTTCTAATCTCTTGGGATTAACATAAAGTTTTCTTTTCATTTTCTTTGTTCTTCTATCATCCAGGAAATCATATGCTAAATATAAATCTAGAATAGAGTCTGTTCTTTTCTCCATTTGGATCAATAATTGACGATGGTTTTTTAATTTTGATTTTTTTCTTTTTAATTCTTGAAATGAAATTTGTTTATCTTCTTTTATTTCTTTTGTTTTATTACATTTTCTCCTATTTTAAACGTTTCTTCATATAAATTGAATTATATGTTGTCAATTTTTTTATTAAAATTTGTTTCTGAATCATTTTCATTGTCTGAATCAAAAAATTCTAAAAACTCGGTTTGTATTTGATTTTCGACAATAAAACTAAATGGTTCGTTTGGATCGAACCTATTGGTATCATATAAATTCTCTTCGTCACTTGAATCATTAATATCATCTTGATCATTCAAATCAATACCAAAAACCTGATAATCCATATTATTTTTATTATTATTATTATTATTTTAAATATATTATATTGTCATTAAAATATAAACCTTTTCCTTTTGTATATTCCATAAGACATATCAAATCCATAATATGTAAACCAGAAGTTGTTATTTCAATATTGTTTATAAAATATTTTTCTTTATCACACCAAATTGGGCAATTGTATAAAAAAATTTCCTTATTATTCATTTTTTTAAATATATATATTATTTTTTATAATAGTATTTTAATAAAAGATTTTTCACTGTGTGTAATATTATCAAAAAAGTTTATTTATTAATATATTTTTAATTTTGTGTTATTTTTATAATTTAAAAAAAAAAAAAAAAATAATTATTTAAAAAATAAAAAATTCGAAAAATAAATAAAAAATTTCCCACACTACAACCACATATATTGTGTGAATGTGTTGTGTGAGTGAGTGAGTTTGAATGTGAGTTTGTGTTAATTTTATCTGTGTATAAATTTTTTTTTTTTTGTATGTGGGTGTGTATCAGAGTCTAGTTGTACAAAAATGTAATTATACAGATCTGTTTTTTGTACATACAGATCTGTATAAATGTAATTATTTAAATTTATATACAAAAAAACAACAATTTCTAAATACATTTATTCTGAACATTCTATCATTGTTTGTCATATTTACATGTAATTTTATGTAAAAAAAATGGTAAAAAAAAAATGTAAAAATATTAAAAAAAATGTAATATGAACTTTTTAATAAAATTTTCATTTCAATAAAATTAAGATTTTTTTTTTCTTTGTATAAATTGCCAATATTAAGAATTATATTCTCAATTTTTTAAAATTATACTATAACCATCAAATTAACAATAAATAATTACCATTTTATCTTAATTTGTTTTATTTTTTATCTTAATTTTTGTTAGATATCTCGGATTCTGACATGTTATTAATAATATAATTATTAATAACATTGTATTTATTTAATTAAAATTTAAAAAGAAGCTCAATCTTTAATAAAAAATTATAGAGATAAAGAAAAAGAAAAAACTATGAAGAAAGGTTATATAAGGAAGAATTAAAAAAAAATGTGGACAAAACTAAAGATGAAAGAAAAAATGAAAGAAGAAAAAGATTCCAACATTTAATGAATGTCCACCAGGATGATTTGGTTCTTTGGAATAAAATTGTATTACTTCAAATAATGCAAACTAAAATCCAAATGCGACGTCTAAATATTGAAAAGAAATATTTTAACTTATACCGAAAAGTTCAAATAAATAAATATAAAGATGACCCTTCTATTTATCAAGAAGAAGATGATGAGGTATATGATCAAGATTCAATCGATGCTATTGATGAATTATTTACAATGAAAATTCCAAAAACATCATATGTTGAAGACCATCAATCACCTTCTGATATAGAATCAAACGAACCAGGTAGTCAATCCCAATTTGAAAAAAATTCTCTTAAACCACTTCAAAATCAATCAAAAAAATCTTTTTTTAAATAAAACTATAATTTTTTAAATATATATTATTTTTTGTAAAGAGAAAAAAACTTTTTTATAATTTTATTTTTATACACACTTAAAATAATTTTATTTTTTTTCATTTTTAGTGATAATATATTTTTTTTATATACTAAAAAATTCATTCATTTTTTATGAAAGAAAACCGATAAACATGAATGAATTTTTTAGTATGAATGAATTTTTTAGTATGAATGAATTTTTTAGTATGGACGATTTTGCAAGTAGCTCATTATATAAATTGAATAATATCAAAATAATATCAAATATCCAACAGTTTAAAAATTGTATCGATTTATCCGAAATCAATATCAATACCACAATTTATTTTATAAAAACAGTAGATGAAATAAATATCAATAATTTTAAAGAAATAACAATGGAATATATTGAAATTAATCAGCTTTTATTAAAATTCAAATTAAATTCAAAACATATTTTAGTTACTTTGGATTCAGAGTCATCCAACTACTTATCATCCTCAGTAGTAGGTGCAGCAAGATATTTTGATGAATTTTTAGAGTTAAAGTTATTTACATTAAATTTTGATAAACAATCAATTATTAATCAAGATATCATTTCTATTATTCCAACAATAGTCAATTGGGATTTTTCAATACACAGAGAGTTTTTTATTAAAAATAATAATGTTTTTTATGAACGTTATAAAAAAGAGACCAATCTAAATCAAAATTTTAAATCAAACTCCTACATTGAACTAAAAAAAGAAAATAGAGAGTTGTTCAAATTAAAACTATCACCAAATCTAGAGTATCAACTTAAACAAAGAGAAGTCAAATTAGAGTCAAATCAAGTTGAAGTCAAAGTTATGGCATTTGGTATAAATTATAAAGATTATTTAATATACTCAGGAAATGCACCACCAGAAATAGCAAATAGATTAAGTGGTGATCTTAGCGATCAGAATTTTGCAATGACTTTTCAGGTGTTATTACAAGAATTGGTCCAGGTTTAAATCAGGATCTATATCCTTATACAATTGGTGACGAAGTCTATGGATTTGGTGATAACTCATCAGCATCGCATATCATTGTTGATATAGATTCAATTTATTTCAAACCAAAAACTCTATCTCATTGCGAATCATCTGCTCTACCATCAATTTATTTGACATCTTATTACAGTATTTATAATGTGGGTAATTTAAAAAACAACGAAACTGTTTTAATTCACTCTGCCTCGGGAGGTGTAGGTTTGGCTGCATTAAATATACTTAAAATGAATCACAATGGATTAGTTTTCGTTACAGTGGGTTCCAAAGAAAAAGAAGATTATTTAATTAAAACATATGGCAAATTTATTTCTGGTATCTTTTCAACAAGAGATAAGAATTATTGTCAACAAATAAAATATACATTGAAAGAGATGGGTTCAGATAGAAGTGGTGTTGATCTAATATTAAATACTCTTTCAAGTAACTATATGGATTCCAATTTTAAGTCTCTTACAACTGGTGGTAGAATTGTAGATCTTTCGGTGACACACTTAAATACAAATGAATACACAAATAACAATAATTTCAAATATAATTTTGGATACTTCAATATCGAATTACTATTTATCAGTAACGAAATAAAAAGAACTTTATTAAAAAAGATCACAAGTGCAATTGAATCAAATAAATTGGACAATATATTACCAATAACGGAATACTCAAATAAAGAAATTAAAGATGCAATTGAATATATAAATCAGCGTAAACATATTGGTAAAATCATTGTCAATAACAAATTTGATATAATGGAACAATTAATAGAAAATCAAAAGGAAGAAAAATTACTAAACTAAATTATGAAATCAATGGTTTGGGTGAAACAATTCTAATTACTGGCCAATCTGGTATTATTTTGGATATATTAAAATGGATATTAATGTATTCAAAAACAGTCAAAAATGTAATTATTATAACAAAATCAAAATTGAAATGGGGATTAGAATTCGTAATTAATAGCTATAAGGAAAATATAAATTTTTATTTCAAGTCTTTAGATATCAGCAATTTAGAAGCTTTGGAAAATTCAATAAGTGAAGTTTTATTATCAAGTAATATTAAAAATATAGATTCTATATTTCATTTTGCTTTTGAACAAGTTTTTGGTGAAGTTCAAGATATAAGCTTAAATCATTTAAATAGATCCCACAGTGCAAAAACATTAGGGGCTATTAATCTACATAATTTATCAATAAAACTCAAATGGAAACTAACCAATTTTGTCATGGCTTCTTCTGTAGCGTCTTGTATTGGGTCTACAGACCAATGTTCCAATGTTTGTGCAAATCTTGTTTTAGACTCTTTATCCAAATATAGAAAATCAATCGGGTTACCCTCTATTTGCACAAACTGGGGAATGTTACAATCATCAGGTTTTGTAGCAAGAAATCAATCGGTCATTGAATTATTGGATGGTCAAGGTTTGAATCCGCTACCAATCAATACTATTGTTGGATCTTTGGATTTAATGATCCAAAATCAAGATCAATCAACTAATTTACTGCTTTCTAATTTCAATTTTACTCGTTTACTTAATTTCCAAGGTTCAATTTTCAATAAATTCGACTATCAATTAAATTTAGTAAGAGGTTTAAAACAAGTTAATGTTAATATTTCCCAAGAAGACACCATTGATTCAATTTTTTTAAATAAACTAGCCGAGCTATTATCAATTGATCAAAATAAAATCAATATTGAAGTAAAACTAAACTCACTAGGTAAGTTATTTTTTATTTAAATTATGTATACTGTTTATTTGAATCATTATTAAAGTTTTTTTTTTAGGTGTTGATAGTCTTTTGATTAGGGGTTCGAAAATAGGTTATTTTTAGAAAAACAGGGTTTTTTAGTTTTGGGTCTAATAGGCCCTTTTTATAGTCAATTGCATAGTTCCAGGTTATTTTTTTTTTTTTTTAGTTATTTATAGTAAAAAAAAGATTAGAAATAGGTAATAATTTAAAAGGTGTTTAAAAATCAATAAAAAAACCGTTAAATCATTATCAATTAAAATATCTCCTTTTTTTTTTTAAAAAAAATATCTTTCAAATTTTTTTCAAATTTTTTTCAAATTTTTTTTATAATAATAAAAATAATATCTTTATTGTTATATTGTGTTATATTAATATACATTAAAATTGTAAAGCGGATTTTTAAAAATATTTTGTTACAAAACAGCAGTTAATTAATAAAAAAAAAATTTCTATAAAAACTTCTACATTTTTATTTATTTATCAATATCAAAATTTATTAATATATAAGAAATAAATAATTACATTAATAAATAATTACATTAATAAATAATAAATATATTAAAATTTTTTAATATTAATAACAAAATATAATCAATGGAAGGAACAAATAGAAAATCAAAGTCAAGATGAAATTCCTGATCAAATTGGCAAAGAATAGAAAACCAACAAAAGGTCACGATCTATGCAATCAAGACGATATGTTAATCGAAATGAACATAAAAGACAAAAAAGAGACACCTATATATTTCAAAGTATTTAGAAATCCAAAGGTATTAAAAAAAAGTGTGGACAAAAGAAATGCGTACTTTAAGAGAATGGGCAAAAGTTTCAAGGGTAAATATTGTTAATAATTCTGTCTATAATGAATATAATAATATATCTAAAATTAAATAAAAATAATAAATAAAAAATAACTTAAAAAATTTTTCAATCAATATTTTTTATATGAATTTTTTCAATTTTTCCTCTATTTTTAGTTTTTTTTTTGATTTTTTATAGCACACATAGTTTTAAAAAAGGTTAAAATAGGTGCGCTGTGGGGGGTGCGGTTGGCAGGACTATTTTTTTTTTTTTTAAAAAATCAAACTAACCTATTTTCGAACCCCTACTTTTGATAGTCCAATTAAAAAACTTCATCGACAAAGAGATTTCTCCAAATATAATTACAATCCAACAGTTGCAGGTTAACACAATTCAATCAATTATACAATCAATTAAAAGTGAATTGGAAAAAAGGAAAAATGAAAAACATAATTATTCAAGCAACAAAACCACCTCATTCACAAAAGCAGAAAAAAAATTAGAATATTGGGAAAATGAAATTAAACTTGATGATTCAATTATAAACTTATCAATTGAAAACAAATCCATTCCTAAACAAATCATAAACAACAAAAATAACATTATATTTCTTACTGGAACAACTGGATTTTTAGGTTAGTTTATTTTATTTATTTAAAAAAATATATTGTTTTATAATTATTAATTAAATCTAAATCTAAATCTAGGTGTATATTTATTATATCAATTACTTTTGTTACCAACTTGCACAAAGGTTTATTGTTTAATTAGAAATAAAAGCAACAATGATAACCCTATAATTGAAATTTATGATAATATGAAAAAACATTTACTATATAACAAGTTAAATACACATCAGCTTTCAAAAATCAATGTTATTGTTGGGGATTTATCAAAAAATCAATTTGGTTTAAATAATAAAGAATATAAATTATTAGCAAATGATATCAATTTAATAATTAATTCAGGTGCAGATATCAATTTATTAGCAGATTATGAATCTATAAAACCAGTAAATGTCAATGGTGTTAAAGAAATAATAAAACTATCACTTTCTTCTTCAAAAATTATAGTTCCAATTGTCAATTTATCAACATATTCAGTTTTTATGAAACAAGAACCAAAAGGTGATTTTAAAGACAATTTCGATGAACAACAATTTGGTTTGGTTCCTTTAGAAAATTTAAATATTTTACCTGGCGGATATATGCAAAGTAAAGTAATTGGTGAATATATTTTAAGTAGCGCAGCAAAATTGAAATCAATACCTTATATTATTATTAGATCCCCCTCAATATTTAGTAACCCAACAACTGGAATAGGTCATAACGCTGATTTTGCTCAACTTTTTATTCAAGCATGCTCTATAATAGGACACTATCCCGATTTGTCGATTGGTTTTTTAGCTTCCCCAATAACATGGTGTGTGGAGAATTTTACAAATGTTATTCTTAATGAAAACTCTTGGTCAACCAATAATAACTCTCCAATATCAAAACTAAATGTGTACAATATCAACAGCGAAGTTATAATATCAGAGACCTTGGTAAAAGACTTTAGTAAAAGAATCGACTTTAGTCAATGGAAAAAATTGATTAACCAATCAGAAAACAAAACATGCATAAAGCTTAGAACCTTTCATACTTTAAATTATGGTCGTTTCGACATATCCAATGGTTATGGTATTTCATATAGAACTAAGCAACTATTAATATCTCTGGGATCCTATGGCAATGGTAGTATAATTAACTACGAGATGATATATAATCTTTTAAACTATAATAAAAAATAAAAAATAAAAACAATAAAATTTTAAAATAATTTAATTTTTAAAATAATATTTAATTTTAATAAAACTTTTAGTTTTTTATATTTTTCTTTTTGTTTTTCTAATTTTAGTTTCATTGATTTCTATTGATTTTTTTGTTTGTAATTTTTCAAAACCACATATTATTATTTAGAAGATCACAAAAAATAAATATCTGAATTGAGTCAAACAAAAAGTAATCAAATCATTGAAACATTTTATCATATTATTGAAAACACATCCGCCATAGGAGATTATTTCATTCTTTTGAATCCACTGCTAAAAAATCAGTTTAAAAATTTTAACACTTTTCTTTTGAAGGGTTTTTTAAGAAAAGATTTAAGAGAAAATAATTTCTCTAATTTATGATTATACTGCCTACTAAAAATATATTATAGACTTGGGGGTTTATTTAAATTAAATAAAATTTTGTATTCTTAATTTCGTTATATTTAAATGAAATTTTTATTTTTTTTATTTTTTTACAATTTTAATTTTAATTTTTTTTTTTTTAAATTTTTATTTTAATTTTTTTTCGAAGATACCATGTTAAAAAATTTTTTTAAATTGAAAAGTTTTCTAAAATATAATAATATTAACACAATGTCATCTATAAAAACAAGAAGATCTTCTTTTTCATCTATTAATAATACAACAACAATACCAACAACAACTACAACTACAACATCAAATAAAGACGATGGAACAGGTAAAACCAATAGTAAAATTAGTAATGCTATTAAAAAAATAAGAAAGTCAATAGATATAGAATACGAAGATAATAAAGATAGTTTAGTCAAAAAAGAAGAGGATAAAGATGCTAAAACAAAAACAACTAAACCAAAAATAAAAAAGATAAAAAAAGAAGTTGATAATAGTAATAATAGTAGTAATAAAAATAAAAATAATAGTAATAATACTGGCGATTACGACGATATCGAAGGTTCAACAAAAGTATCATTAGCAAAATTAAAATGGGAAGAAGTTTGGAATAAAATCGAAGTTATGAGAAAAGAAAATATAGCGCCGGTAGATACATTAGGGGCAGAGTCATTCAATATCGAAGAGATTGAACCAAAAGAAAGAAGATTTCATATATTGGTTGGATGTTTATTGTCATCACAAACTAAAGATCAAGTTACACATGCAGCAATGGTCAGATTAAAAGAATATGGATTAAATGTCGAAACGGTTTTAAAAACACCAAACGAAAAATTAGAGACTCTTATTCACCCAGTTGGATTTTATAGAAGGAAAGCGGTTTATCTAAAGAGTATTGCAGAAATTTTAAAAGAAAAGTATAATGGAGATATACCACCAACATTCAAAGAGATCGAAGCATTACCAGGTATAGGCCCGAAAATGACAAATTTAATCGTTCAAATTGCATGGGGTAGAGTAGAAGGAATCGCTGTCGATGTACATATGCACAGAATCTGTAATCGATTGGGATGGGTTAAAACCAATACACCAGAGGAAACAATGAGACAATTGGAGTCTTGGTTACCAAGAGAAAAGTGGGGTCAAGTTAACCATTTGTTGGTTGGTTTCGGCCAAACTATTTGCGATCCAGTCAGACCCAAGTGTTCATCATGCACAGTTAATAACCTTTGCCCAGTTGGCATCAAAGAAATGAAATCTTTAAATAAACAAGAAGAAAAAAAAAAAAAAAAAAATAAATAATTCTTTATTTATTTTTTTATCTTTTATTTTTTTTTATTATAATAAATGGTTTTAAATTGTTTTATTCTTTATAGATCTGAATAATGTAAAACAAATAATTTAGAGATATGAGATCTGAATATGGTCAAAATATTTATTTATTTATTTATCAATTTTTCATGATGTCATATAATTATTTTATGATAAAAATAATTAAAAAAAAGTAAATTTACCCATCCAAGTAACAAAAAATAAAAAATAAAAAATAAAAAAAAAAAATAAAATTTTTTTTTTTATAAGATTATTTCAAAATATCCATTTTACAAAGGAAATAATAATGAATACAAGATAATTATTCAACTTTAAGATTATTCCTAAAACTTTTCATTTGTGTATATTTATGCAGGTATGTTATAAATCTATATTGTAAAAAAAAAATTTATATAAATTACCTGCTAATAAAATTTATCATTTTATTTTATTTTAAAAAGAAATTAATATTAATATTATGTCTGAAAATTTTAATAAAAATATTTTAGAAGAAAATTTAGTAGCTGTAGTTGGTATTGGCTTTAGGTTACCAAGTGGAAATATAAATGAATCAAATCAAACTCCAAGTCAATTATTTAACAATTTAATGAATGGTTTTAATGGCATAGTTAACATTAGAGAAAGATGGAATGAAAATTTCTATAAGTTAAATGAAATTGGCTGTAGTAGTGCCGGTTTATTACCTTTGGAGGAATGGAAACTCTTTGACCCTGTTTTTTTTGGTTTAAATCCAAGTGAAGCTGTAACCATTGATCCACAGCAAAGACTTTTGTTAAAGTGCACTTACGAAGCATTGGAAGATGGAGGTGTAGATCCAATAACTCTACGTGGTTCAAATACAAGTGTTTTTATCGGGCTCTCTACTCAAGATTACAAGGATATTGGTCGTTCATTAACCTCAGCTCAAAGTAATTTATTCGGTACATCGGCTCATTCAGCATCAAATAGAATTTCATATTGCTTTGATTTTCATGGAGCTTCATTAACAATTGACTCTGCTTGCTCATCTTCAACAACATCTATTGCATTGGGTTATGAGTCAATAAAATCTGGTAAATCAAACTGTTCTATTGTTGGTGGTGTAAATATGATAATGGGTATGTTTTGTTATATAAACAATAGTATAAATGATAATAGTTTTAATAATAATAATGTTGTTTTTATTAGATTTACCCTCTTTTAGATCATTTTCGCTTTTAAATTTATTAAGCAAAAAACAAGGAAAATGCATGACTTTTGATGCGGATGCTGATGGTTATGTTCGTTCAGAAGGTGTTGGTGTGGTTGTCCTAAAAAATTTAAATCAGGCAATTAAAGATGGTAATAATATTTATTGCGTGGTTTCTGGAGAAAGTTTAAATGTCGATGGTAATGGTTTGGATGATAAATTAAATTTTTATTCACCATCTTCCATCTCTCAAGCAGAAAATATTAAATTGGCACTTAAATCAACCAATGGGTTAATTGATAGAGCTGACATTGATTATGTCGAGTGCCATGGAACTGGTACACCTAAAGGTGATCCAGTTGAGTTAGAAGGTATTTCAATGGTTTTTAAAGATAGCACTGCTCACTCTAATTCCAATCCATTATTGGTAGGTTCAATAAAATCAAACATTGGTCATTTAGAAGGTAATTATTTTTATTGTTTTTATTATAAATTATTTTATTAATATTAATATAATAATTTAATTATATTAGCATGTTCCGGTGTTGCATCATTAATAAAATGCTGTTTAATGTTTAAAAATAAATGTTTTTTACCAAATATTAATTTTAAAAAACCAAATCCTTTAATCAAGTTTAAAGAGTGGAATTTAAAGGTAGTCACAGAACCAATAAAGTTTAATGAAAACAAACAAATTTCAATGATTATAAATAATTTCGGTGTTACCGGTAAGATTGTATTTAAATTTTATAAATTTTCCTTCATTTTTTTTAAACTAAATACCAATTCATTTTTTTAATATAACAGGTTCAAATTCATGCTTGATTTTACAACAGTTTATAAGTAAAAACAAAACAATAAATAAACTCGAACATAAGAGTTATTTAATACCATTTTCATCTTGTAGTGCTGAATCACTAATGAAATATCAAGAATCAAATGTTTTAAAAGAGAGTGACTTCAATACCTTTGTTTTAAATCAAATTTATAAAAAATCTCTATCACTTTATCAAAGATCAGTTATAATTGCTAGTGATTCTAAAGAATTCAATAATTTAGAAAAAAGAACACAATTTCAAACAAAAAACGATATGCTTTCAAATATATCAATCAAGCAAAATAATCCAACTGTTGTATATATCTTTTGTGGCCAAGGTTCACAATATAATAAAATGGGATTGGAGCTATATAAAAATGAACCAGTATTCAGAGATACTTTAGATTTAATGGATTCAAAATTTGCGAATTATTACGGCTATTCCATTTTAGAGAAATTAAGATCAATTGAAGATGGTGACTCCATATCTATAAATCAACAAATTATAGTTCAGCCATCTAATATTATGATACAAGTTGGGTTATTCAAATTATATAAGCATTGGGGTGTAGAACCTTCAGTTATAATTGGACATTCATTGGGTGAAATTTCAACTGCTTACTGCTCTGGAATGATTGATTTGGATACTTTATGCTACTTAGTATATAATAGATCCATTTTACAACAAAAAACACAAGGCACCGGAAGAATGTTATCAATAAATATCAGCTCAGAACAATTTAAAAGCGATTATTCATCAAAATATCCAACTCTAGAAATTGCTTGTTACAATTCACCATCTTCCATTGTTGTTGCCGGTAATGAAGAACATTTAAATGAAATTCATATTAGTGCAAAAGAAAAAGGTATTTTTACTGCAATGCTTGGGTCTTTAACAGCAATCCATACAAGTGCTCAAACGGCTATAAAGGATGAAATTTTGGAATTAAAATTTAAATCACAGCAACCTAACACACCAACCTTTTCAACTGTAACAGCAGAGTTGTTTAGCCAAGACCTCCTCTTTAATTCTCAATATGTATATCACAATATTTTACAGCCAGTAAAATTTGATCAAACCATTTCAAATCTTTTTAAATATATCGAAGAAAGCCAGTTAAATTCAAATTTATGTTTTATAGAAATATCCCCACACCCAACTTTAACATTTTACTTAAAACAAATGGTCCCAACTAATTCATTATACTTTAATAATGGAAAATCTATTGAGTTTTATACTTCATTAAATAGAAAAAAAAATGATTTATCTGAAATCCAAAAAACAATTTCAGAATTATATTGCAGCGGTTATAATGGAATAAACTTCAAGAGCCAATTTAATAATCAAATGTCCCCACTCGATAGCGGTTGCTATAGTTTACCTTTGTACAAATGGGATGATAAATCTTACTGGAGAGAAGATGCACTTCATGAACAATTAAGAATTGATGGCCCATCAGTTGATCACTTGGGTATTTCAAATAAAGAGGTTTCACCATTTATTAAATCCTTCCAAGCTTTTATTGATATTGGCAAATTACCATTTCAATATTTAAAAGGCCATCAAGTAAAGGGAAAATATTATTATCCAGGATGTGGTTACATTATAAACTTGCTTAAAACTTATTCAAATCAAGATATAACTATTAACTTTATGGAATTTAAAACACCTTTGATTCTTAAAGAAGGAAGCAACCAATGCTTACAAACAAATATTTATCAAACTGGTAAAACTGAATATAAAGTTTTATATCATTTTAAAGATGAGTTAAATCAATGGGTGCAATCGGCAAGTGGGAATTTTCAACTGTTTAGCCATGGTGAAAATACATTCAAATTTAATATTCAAAAAATTTTACAAAGTCAATGTAACAAAGCAGTCATAAAAAAAGAAGAGCTTTATGATTTTATCAAAATGAGAACTGGTTTGCAATATACTGGTGCTTTTCAAGGTGTAGATAAATGCTTTTTAGGTGATAATTGTTCTCTTTCGATAGTTTCACTGGAACTGCCAAATGGATACATAGACCAGATGTTGGAAAAGAATCCCACATTTTTCAATTCTTCAATCTTGGATTCATGCTTACATGGTTTAATTTCATTAATCAATGAACAATCACAAATGGTTTTTGATAATGTTAGTGGCTTTAAATTATATTCAAAAAACATTCCCAAAGATAGAACCCAATTTTCGGAAATATATGTTTATTCAGAATTAAAGAAAAGAATAGGTAATTCTTATGTGGGTTCAATTACAATAATGTTATCAGACGGAACAATTTTAATTGATATTGAAGAATTAGTATGCACATCATTAACCTATATTAAAGATCCATATGTAATTGACCTTCCAAAAGATCAAGTTTATACAACTTATTTACAACAAAAAGATTCAATTTTACCACCACCATCAACTTTTAAGTCAATTTTTAATTGTGAGGTTGCCAATGAAGTTATTGAAAATTATTCTAATAGTATAAAATTTATTTCAACAACACTCTTAAAATATATTATTGAAAGAAACAAAGATATTCAAATTGATGTAGTTAGAAAATTAAATATTGAACAATTAAAGGAAAAATACTTGGTCGATTCAAAAAATGAAAGATTATTCAACTATATCTTTGAAACAATTAAAACATATTATAATGAACATGTTCAAGATATTCCAGTTGTCTCTAATCAAGAGTTAATTGAAAAATCCATTAAAATAATTACAAAAATATTATTCCCTCTAGAAAGTGACAATCCATCTGAAAATTTACCCCAGTCGTTGTTTGAAGACAATATGCTCAAAGAATTTTATGACACCCCAACGTGTATGGTTAGAAGTGAAATGTTTGGGGAAATAATAAAAAACTCCATTAAACCCATTTTAAAAGAAAAAATATTTTTTAAAATATTAGAGTTCGGAGGAGGTACATGTTCATTATCAAAACAAGTATTAAATAAAATAAATGAATTGCTCCTAGATAATCAAGGCTATGAAATCGATATAGAATATACATGGACCGATATTTCACCATCATTTATTTTTGATGCTAAAAATCAATTATCTCAATTCAAATGTGTTAGTATAGTTTATAATACTATTGATCTAGAGGCTCCATTTATGAAGCAGGGTTTAAAGCCATCATATTATGATTTTATAATTATGTCAAATGTAGTTCATGTGGTTAAAAACATTAATTATGCTATGGAACAAATATATCAAGTATTATCACCAAATGGACAACTTTTATTAATTGAACCACCAGATCGATCTATAATTATTGACACTATATTCTCTTGTTTTGACCAATGGTATTCATTTGAAGATATGGATATTAGAAAAGACAGATGCTATTTAGATAAAGATACTTGGGTGAAATTATTAAATCAACATAATTTCAAATCAGACTTATTATTTTCAAACCCATCAGAATACTATTGTACCGCAATTCAGGCACAAAAACTAAGTTTAAATAATATTAAAACCAAAATAGATAGTAGTGAAAATGTAATCATTTATTCAAATTCTGACAATAGCTTTATAAATAGTCTAAAATCACTATATAAATTGAATAATATCAAAATAATATCAAATATCCAACAGTTTAAAAATTGTATCGATTTATCCGAAATCAATAACAATACCACAATTTATTTTATAAAAACAGTAGATGAAATAAATATCAATAATTTTAAAGAAATAACGATGGAATATATTGAAATTAATCAACTTTTATTAAAATTCAAATTAAATTCAAAACATATTTTAGTTACTTTGGATTCAGAGTCATCCAACTACTTATCATCCTCAGTAGTAGGTGCAGCAAGATATTTTGATGAATTTTTAGAGTTAAAGTTATTTACATTAAATTTTGACAAACAATCAATTATTAATCAAGATATCATTTCTATTATTCCAACAATAGTCAATTGGGATTTTTCAATACACAGAGAGTTTTTTATTAAAAATAATAATGTTTTTTATGAGCGTTATAAAAAAGAGACCAATCTAAATCAAAATTTTAAATCAAATTCCTACATTGAACTAAAAAAAGAAAATATAGAGTTGTTCAAATTAAAACTATCACCAAATCTAGAATATCAACTTAAACAAAGAGAAGTCATATTAGAACCAAATCAAGTTGAAGTCAAAGTACTGGCATTTGGTGTAAATTATAAAGATTATTTAATATACTCAGGAAATGCACCACCAGAAATAGCTAATAGATTAAGTGGTGATCTTAGCGATCCAGAATTTTGCAATGACTTTTCAGGTGTTATTACAAGAATTGGTCCAGGTTTAAATCAGGATCTATATCCTTTTACAATTGGTGAAGAAGTCTATGGATTTGGTGATAACTCATCGGCATCGCATATCATTGTTGATATAGATTCAATTTATTTCAAACCAAAAAATCTATCTCATTGCGAATCATCAGCTCTACCATCAATTTATTTGACATCTTATTACAGTATTTATAATGTGGGTAATTTAAAAAGCAACGAAACTGTTTTAATTCACTCTGCTTCAGGAGGTGTAGGTTTGGCTGCATTAAATATACTTAAAATGAATCACAATGGATTAGTTTTTGTTACAGTGGGTTCCAAAGAAAAAGAAGATTATTTAATTAAAACATATGGCAAATTTATTTCTGGAATCTTTTCAACAAGAGATAAGAATTATTGTCAACAAATAAAATATACATTAAAAGAGATGGGTTCAGGTAGAAGTGGTGTTGATCTAATACTAAATACTCTTTCAAGTAACTATATGGATTCCAATTTTAAGTCTCTTACAACTGGTGGTAGAATTGTAGATCTTTCGGTGACACACTTAAATACAAATGAATACACAAATAACAATAATTTCAAATATAATTTTGGATACTTCAATATCGAATTACTATTTATCAGTAATGAAATAAAAAGAACTTTATTAAAAAAGATCACAAATGCAATTGAATCAAATAAATTGAACAATATATTACCTATAACGGAATACTCAAATAAAGAAATTAAAGATGCAATTGAATATATAAATCAGCGTAAACATATTGGTAAAATCATTGTCAATAACAAATATGATATAATGGAACAATTAATAGAAAAACAAAAGGAAGAAAAATTACTAAAACTAAATTATGAAATCAATGGTTTGGGTGAAACAATTCTAATTACTGGGCAATCTGGTATTATTTTAGATATATTAAAATGGATATTAATGTATTCAAAAACAGTCAAAAATGTAATTATTTTAACAAAATCAAAATTGAAATGGGGATTAGAATTCGTAATAAATAGCTATAAGGAAAATATAAATTTTTATTTCAAGTCTTTAGATATCAGCAATTTAGAAGCTTTAGAAAATTCAATAAATGAAGTTTTATTATCAAGTAATATTAAAAATATAGATTCTATATTTCATTTTGCTTTTGAACAAGTTTTTGGCGAAGTTCAAGATATAAGCTTAAATCATTTAAATAGATCCCACAGTGCAAAAACATTAGGGGCTATTAATCTACATAATTTATCAATAAAACTCAAATGGAAGCTAACCAATTTTGTTATGGCTTCTTCTGTAGCGTCTTGTATTGGGTCTACAGACCAATGTTCCTATGTTTGTGCAAATCTTGTTTTAGACTCTTTATCCAAATATAGAAAATCAATCGGGTTACCCTCTATTTGCACAAACTGGGGAATGTTACAATCATCAGGTTTTGTAGCAAGAAATCAATCGGTCATAGAATTATTGGATGGTCAAGGTTTGAATCCGCTACCAATCAATACTATTGTTGGATCTTTGGATTTAATGATCCAAAATCAAGATCAATCAACTAATTTACTGCTTTCTAATTTCAATTTTACTCGTTTAGTGAATTTCCAAGGTTCAATTTTCAATAAATTCGACTATCAATTAAATTTAGTAAGAGGTTTAAAACAAGCTAATGTTATTATTTCCCAAAAAGACACCATAGATTCAATTTTTTTAAATAAACTAGCCGAACTATTATCAATTGATCAAAATAAAATTAATATAGAAGTAAAACTAAACTCACTAGGTAAGTTATTTTTATTAAATTATGTATACTGTTTATTTGAACCATTACTAAAGTTTTTTGTTTAGGTGTTGATAGTCTTTTGATAGTCCAATTAAAAAACTTCATCGACAAAGAGATTTCTCCAAATATAATTACAATCCAACAGTTGCAGGTTAACACAATTCAATCAATTATACAATCTATTAAAAGTGAATTGGAAAAAAGGAAAAATGAAAAACCATATCATACAAGCAACAAAACCACCTCATTCACAAAAGTAGAAAAAAAATTAGAATATTGGGAAAATGAAATTAAACTTGATGATTCAATTATAAACTTATCAATTGAAAACAAATCCATTCCTAAACAAATCATAAACAACAAGAATAACATTATATTTCTTACTGGAACAACTGGATTTTTAGGTTAGTTTATTTTATTTATTTAAAAAAAAATATTGTTTTATAATTACTAATTAAATCGAAATCTAAATTTAGGTGTATATTTATTATATCAATTGCTTCTGTTACCAACTTGCACAAAGGTTTATTGTTTAATTAGAAATAAAAGCAACAATGATAACCCTATATATGAAATTTATGATAATATGAAAAAACATTTACTATATAATAAGTTAAATACACAACAGCTTTCAAAAATCAATGTTATTGTTGGGGATTTATCAAAAAATCAATTTGGTTTAAATAATAAAGAATATAAATTATTAGCAAATGATATCAATTTAATAATTAATTCAGGTGCAGATATCAATTTATTAGCAGATTATGAATCTATAAAACCAGTAAATGTCAATGGTGTTAAAGAAATAATAAAACTATCACTTTCTTCTTCAAAAATTATAGTTCCAATTGTCAATTTATCAACATATTCAGTTTTTATGAAACAAGAACCAAAAGGTGATTTTAAAGACAATTTCGACGAACAACAATTTGGTTTGGTTCCTTTAGAAAATTTAAATATTTTACCTGGCGGATATATGCAAAGTAAAGTAATTGGTGAATATATTTTAAGTAGTGCAGCAAAATTGAAATCAATACCTTATATTATTATTAGATCCCCCTCAATATTTAGTAACCCAACAACTGGAATAGGTCATAAGGCTGATTTTGCTCAACTATTTATTCAAGCATGCTCTATAATAGGCCACTATCCCGATTTGTCGATTGGTTTTTTAGCTTCCCCAATAACATGGTGTGTGGAGAATTTTATAAATGTTATTCTTAATGAAAACTCTTGGTCAACCAATAATAACTCTCCAATATCAAAACTAAATGTGTACAATATCAACAGCGAAGTTATAAAAACAGAGACCTTGGTAAAAGACTTTAGTAAAAGAATCGACTTTAGTCAATGGAAAAAATTGATTAACCAATCGGAACATAAAACATGCATAAAGCTCAGAACCTTTCATACTTTAAATTATGGTCGTTACAACCTATCCAATGGTTATGGTATTTCAAAAAGAACCAAGCAACTATTAATATCTCTGGGATCCTATGGCAATGGTGGTATTATTAACTACGAGATGATAAATAATCTTTTGAACTATAATAAAAAATAAAAAATAAAAAATAAAAAATAAAAACAATAAAATTTTAAAATAATTTAGTTTTTAAAATAATATCTATTTAGTTTTTAAAATAATATTTAATTTTAAATAACATATAAACTAAAAAAAGATAATTAATATTTATATTTTATTTTAAATTAATTTTTTCTTTTTTTAATAAAGCTTTTAGTTTTTTATATTTTTCTTTTTGTTTTTCTAATTTTAGTTTCATTGATTTCTCTTGATTTTTTTGTTTGTAATTTTGCAAAACCACATTAATCTTATCAAAGGAATCTTTTGGGAGTGAGAGTTTTTCGAACTCTAATTGGAGATCAGATACAATTCTATCGACACCATATTTTGATTTATCCTTTTTAATAGCACCACCACTTGAAGATAGCTCATCACCACTTCCATAACAGCTGCCGCCAAAACTACTATTTCTACTGTGGCTAATATGATGACTCTTTAATAGAGGACTTGAACCCAACAATAAATTTTCATATGACCCATCACTATTGTCTTTGGACATGTGAATTGGTCTAAAAACACGTTCATTAACTGTACTATTACCAATATTGCTACCACTACTATTATTATTTAAAAATGATGAAGATGGTGAGGGTGTTGGAGATGATTGTTTTTCTCTTTTAATTTCGTCCAATTCTTTTTGTAATAAAGTTTTTTCACTCTTTAATTGGTCAATTATTTTTTGTTTAATGTTATCTGTTGCTGATAATGATGCGCCTGTTAATTCTGAGAGTGAAGAAAGTTCTGGTGAGGTTAATTTATCTGGTGATGAGGAATAGGTTTCTGATGAACTGTCCAATTGTTCATTAAAATCTAAAGAATTCATTAATTGTTTTTTAGTTTCATTAACTTGTTCTTTTTCTTGATTATTGTTGGTTTTTTCTAAAATTACATTATTATTACATTCGCTATTAACTTCATTATTATTATTATTATTATCTACATTTAATTCATTTATAAAGGTTGGTGATGGTGATAATGGAGTTGTTGATGATGATGATGGGGTTGTTGATGATGATGATGATGATTGAGCTGTTATATTTTCTACATTATTTATATTATTATTTAATTCTTTTGTTGGGGTTAGTGATGGGAAGAGTTCAAAAACAGTGCCTCTAGCTTGTTTATTGTGACCCATTGTAGTACCAGTTCTTCTGAGAGTATTAAATTCACGAAGAGTTTTTAATGTGCCAACAATTGAATTCTTTCCAACATTAGTTCCTGCGATCCATGGATGTTTAAGAGTTTGTTCAATTGTAAATCTTTTTGATGGATCATTTGTTAAAAGACCTTTGATTAAACTTTTGGCAGAGTCGCTAATATTGTCCCATTCTGGTGATGGAAATTCTAAATTGTAACCAGTTGTTTCGTCAAATGGTGGAAAACCGCATAATAAAATATAAGCAATGACACCTAAAGACCAAAGATCTACTGGTTTACCATATCCAGTGCAATTACTAATTTCTGGTGCCATATATGTAAGTGTGCCAACCAATGAACGTAATTGATTACCAGCTGGGCATCGTTGAGATAAGCCAAAGTCACATAATTTAATAATTGCTTGATCGCTATTATCTGAATATAAAAGGTTTTCTGGTTTTAAATCGCAATGGACAATATCTTTTGAGTGTAAATATTGAATAACCTTTGTGATAGTATTAATTAAAGCTGATGCATCTTCTTCAGTATAAAATTCTCTCTCTACAATTTTATCGAATAATTCTCCACCTGTTACCCTGAATTATTAATAAAAATAAAAATATTAGTACACTTTATTATTGCAAATACTATATCATGAAATTTTATTTACAATTCTAAAACTAATGAAATTTCAGACTCGGTTTCAAAAATTTCGTGAAGTGAAATAATATTTGGGTGTTTAATTTCAGTCATCATTTCGACCTCTTTGATTATATTTGCTTCCTCAACAACTGATTTTTTCATAATTTTAATTGCCCATTGCTTATTTGTTGATTTATTTGTTCCTTGTTTTACAACTGAAAATTTACCTGAACCAATTTGAGATGTAATATCATATTGTTTTGTAATTGAACTTGAATGACTGCCTGGTATAACCTTTCTCATTTTTTTTTTTTTTTGATTGATTGGTTAACAAATTGAATAATGATTATTTAATTTAAAAAATATATGATTAAATTATATTATTACTATATAACTATATAAATATTATACAAAAATATAAATAAATAAATAAATAAATCAATAAACCAAATTTATATGATATTAATTAATTAAAACTATAAAGAACGAGTAAAAAAAAAAAAAAAAAAAAAAAAAAAGCAATCTATTTTGAAATATAATTTAAATATAAAGAATTAGTATAAAATTATTTTATTTTTATGATTTAAAATTATTAATATACAAAAAATTAATTTTATAAAAAAAAGAAACTATAATAAATTAATTATACCTTTTTTTTATAAAAAAAAGAAATTATAATTATAATAATACAACAACAACAATATTATAAATTATTGTGATAGTGTACAATAAATAAATACAAAAAATGTTTATAAATTTTTTTATTTTATTTTTTTTATTTTTTTCTTGTCTTTGTTGTCTTTTTATTTTGTTTTTCTCAAGCGAGAAAGAGATTTTATATATTTTTAAATAATATTTATTTATAAATATATATTCATATAATTGTTACTGATTTTTTTAATTATTACTATTATTATTATTATTATTATTTTATTTATTTGGAGTGGAGTGTGGGTGTGTTGATTTATTTTATTATTGTTAAATATAATAGTGATAGTATTTATATCATCATATATATAGATATATATATATAAAACACACTACACCCACAACAATAAACAATAAATAAAAAAATGTTAAACAAATAATTAACTGATTATAATTTACTTTATGTTCGCATATATTTTTATTTAATTAAATGAAAAAAAAAAAAAATGAATTTAAAAAAAAAACACATAAAATTTAAAAATCAACAACCAAAATAATAAAAATCTTTTATGTGTGGATGACCATATGATTCTTAAAATTCCATTAGAGTGTGCGAAAGATTTAAAATAATATTTTATAAAATTTGAGACAAACATAAAGTCTGTGGTAATAATTTTGTTTTGAATATTAAAAAAATAATAATAACCCTATTGTGTGTTTGTGTTTTATTTTTTTTGCGATAGGGGAATTAGTCTGTGTGTGTGGGTAAAAATAGTGTGTGGTGTGTTAAAGTGTGGTGGGTAGTTTATGCGGTGTTAATTTATGTAGAGTGTGCTAAACTATAACGACTTATGTGTATAAATAAACTATTATTGTTTTATGCATGTAATAATGTGTGTGTTTTTATTTATAACTTTCCAAAATAAAAAAAAAAAAAAGTAGGTTATGCATATTATCTAATCTAATACTCACTGTTAATTCTTTATGTATTTTGTTTTTTTATTTATTATAATTTGGGTGTGTGTTATTATTTGATAAGTTTAGTTAATTATAAAAAAAAGAGATAATAATAAAAATAAAATAAACTGAAAAAAAAAAAAAAAAAAAAAAAAAAAAAAGAGTAGAGTGGGTTATTGTTTCTCTATAAATTGGCTTGATATATCTCGCAAAACGAATCAAAAATTTTAAAAAAAATAAAAAAAAAAAAATTTTATAAAAAAAAAAGTTTTAAAATAAAAAAAAAAATTTTAAAAAAAAATAATTTAAAATTAATTAACTATATTTGTTATTATTTTAATTATGATTATAATTTTATAACATAAATTCGATATAGGAAAAAAAAAAAAAAAAAAAAGACTCGGTGTTTTAGAGATATTAAACATATAACAGATATTTTTTTTTTTTATAATAAAGGAATGTTACTTTTGTTTGGTTTTTAAACCAAAAAATAAAAAAATAAAAAAATAAAAAAAATAAAAAAAATAAAAAAATAAAAAAAATAAAAGTATATTACAAAATTTTTGATACTAAAAATAACATTGTTTTTATTCATTTTTTGTTTATTATAATTTAATTATTTAATCGAGATAAAGATAGGATAAATTTAAAAAAAAAAAAAATTTTATTGCAATAATTGTTCAGTGTTATCCATCTAAATATTGTTATTGTTTAGTCCAAAAAATGAAATTCCCGGAAATATAATGGATGTCTATATTAAATAGGCTAGAGAAATTCGTTTCAGATTTTAATTTTAATCGGATTTTACATTCCCATACAAAAAATATTAAAAACACCTTCAATTTATTAATTTTCATTTTTTTTTTTTTTTAAAAAAATATCTCAGCATACAAACACACCACTACAATACCCCAATTAAATGAATAACATAAATTTTATCAAAACCAATAAAAAAAATAAAAAAATACAACAATTAATAGCAATATCTATTTTTATTTAATTAAAATTGTTACTAAAAATAGAAATAAACATTTAATAATAAATTTATAATTAAATTTATAATTAAATTCTATTAATTAATAATAATAATAAATAATTATAAAAATTTATTATTATTAATAATAAAAAATAAATATTGTAGTTTAAAAGTTAAAAAATTATTATTTTATTAGTTTATTAAATTGTGAAATGAAATAAAATTTAAAAAAAATAAAAAACTATTAAAGATTTCTTTAATTAAAGATTTCTTTGATTTAAAGATTCCTCTGATTAAAGATTCCCCTGATTTTAGATTTTTATAATTAAAACTAAAGATTTATAGATTCAAATTTAAATGATTTTTTTTTTTATTATTACAATTAATTTTTTTTTTATAATTTTATAATTAATTTATAAATTTAGAGTTTTATGATTTAATTTTATTTGATTTTATTATATACATTTGATTTTAAACAATAAACTATTCTATAGTTTATTTAATATTAAATATATTAAATATATTGTTATTATTAGTTTTTTTTTTTAAATATACAATATTTTAACTGGTGTTGTTCATTGATAAAGAGGTATTTGAAAATGAATTGATTGCTTGACTCATAGCCCAAGATGTAGGACTATCTGTGGCAGAATATGGGTGCCATGAAACTGTATTATTATTACTATTGTTGTTGTTATTACTATTGTTGTTATTATTATTATTATTACTATTATTATTATTATTATTATTATTATTATTATTATTACCATTGTTATTATTATTATCATCGTTTAAATTATCATTGTTGTTATTGCCGCCATTTATATTATTATTGTTATTATTATTATTATTATTATTATTATTGTTATTATTACCATTGTTATTATTATTATTAAAACCTATATGATGTGGAGATAGTTGCGAAGGTGGTAAAGGAATATAATTCATATGATGAGGCTCCATTCTCCTATACTCATACATTAAACCTGGCCAACGCATAGAGTGAGATGGTGATGGCATACCTGGTGATGGCATACCTGGTGAAGGTGGATGTAATGAAAGTGAAGGAGATGGTACTAAACTAATTGGCGATTGGTTACCTGAATAATTTTGGGGCATTCCATAATGTGGTGAGGTCATTGAGAAGGTTGATGGTGAGGCTGATGGTGAGGCTGATGGTGAACCAGATAATGGAGTAACAGGGAATTCTGATCTAGATACATTAACTGGTGGTGGTCTTTTTTTAAATGTTGGTGATCTTACAAAACTATCATTGGAGTTTACACTCGAAATATTTGGTGATGAATTCATACTACTATTATTACTATTTATATTTTGATTCATTTGATTTAATATTTGTTGTTGAAGTAATTGTGGTTGTGGTATATTATTCATGTTCATTTGATTGTTCATTTGTTGATTTAATTGTATATTTTGTTGGTTCATTTGTTGCTGGTTCATTTGTTGTTGGTTCATTTGTTGTTGTTGGTTCATATTTTGTTGATTCATTTGTGGTGATGGGGTGGAGGTGGATAATGGTGATGAAGTTGATGAGTTTGATGTAGTTGATGAAGATAAATTAGGGCTATTTGTAATTTCTGATTTTTTATTTACAGCTTTGTGGAATGCATGGTATGCAGTTTCAATATTTTCCATTGATTGATTTGGTAAAAAGTTTTCTTTTATTAATTTACAGAGAGATTGAATATCATCTTGATCGATGTTTGAAATGAGGCCTTTAGCAAATTGTTCATAATCACTTGGGGTCCATGATGTAGGTAAAATTGCTAAAACAGCGTCTTTATAAATGAGAGCTGATTTTGCTTGTGTAGCAGTAATTGTAACAGCCTCTCTTTTTCTTTTAACAGTTGGTGAACTATTTCCATTGAGACTGGTATTTAGAATACCAGGTTGAAATGGATTAATGACAGAGTTGGTTGTTGGTGAATTTGTACATGATGAAAATAATGGTGATCCTTCATCATTATATTCATTCCATTCTGAATCATCCCTATCTGAGCCAGTGCCACTATTGGCCAAACTTGAACCATCTTTACTTTCAAGTTTTTTACCACGTTCACGGTCAATTCTTAAAAAGTATTTTTGTGCATGAGTTCTTACTTGTGTTGGGTTTCTGGTGCCTACGTATTGGGAAATGGATTTAACATCTTTGTGGCCATACTTTGAAAGAGCTTCGAGGAATCTTGAATGCTCTTCAGGTGTCCAGTATCTTGATTGTTTCTTTTTTTCTGTTTGTTTTTCTTGTTCATATTTGGCAACTTGTGATTGTAGTCCCTCTATTGTATCCCTCTTTCTTGAGATCTCTTCCTCCAAGAACTGAATTTTTCTTTGTAACTCTGCAACGATATTAGTTGGTGCAAACTGTTTATCACTCTGGTCATCACTTCCATCCATTGCACCATGTTGTTCAATAAACCTTGGATAATGTGGTACTGCTCCATAGATTGGTGGTGCTCTATATATGGGACTGTACATTCCTGTTGATGGTGATGGGTTAAAATCATAGGGTTCTTGGTATCTAACCATATTTGGATGGTTCATCATTTTTAACTGCTTTTTATATTAATATAAATCTTTGTAAAATGTTATAAAAATAATTTGTAAAAATTTAAAGTTAATATTAATTTCTAATTTACAAAATGATGTTTAAATTATTTTTTTTTTTTTTTTTTTTTTTTTTTAAATTTTTTAGATTTAATTTTTTAAATTTAATATTACAATTTCTTTTTATTATTTATTTATAAAATCTATTAGTGTATTGGACCGAAATTTTATTAATTAATGTTACAACTTAAAAATACAAATATAAATATTTTGATTATATGGCTTATAGATTTTTATGATTATGATTTTTTGAAAGTAAATAATAATACAATTTTTGATTTGATAATTGAATAAAAAAAAATGAATAAATAAAATAAATAAATAAATTATTAACTTAACAAAAAAAAAAGAGGTTATAACA